GGAAACTGAGGTAAAATACTACCTTTGCCTGAAATTCCTTCAGTAGCAGAACAAAGTTTGTAGCCGAAATCTCCTGACTCCAACTCCCTAATAACACTAAGGTTATCATACAAACATGGCAGCTGTGTTGCCACTCCTCCTGCCATGGCCAGGACACACAGTTAGGAATGGAACTCTTGCCACCTGAACAGACAGTTAACTGCAGACTTCTCTAGTTCACTAGTGACTGCTCTAAGCAGTTACTCCCAGTAGCTGGGTTCTGGCCCAAGAAGGAAAGGCAAAAACCATTCACCACTTATACTAGGTCAAGGGCAGTAGGATAGAATTAGATTAAGAGCTCACTAACTTCTTTTTAGGTACAAGTTTTGCCGGGTGTTGAAGATATAAAACATAGCCCACTTAGTAAATATTCTACAACATTATTTCATAAAAGCATTTCACTAGACTGTGTAAAACAAAAGTCCTTTCATTTAAAAAGTATCTATTAAGTACATGGAATGCTTTTGTAGACTAAGGTGCACCTCATCCAGCCCATGATCTTTTCAACTGCTTCCTAAACAACTGCAAATTGGACAGTGAGTAAGGATTACAGAAAAAGATTTGATGCCTTCAAACTGTGATGCTGGGGAAGATACTGAACATCTCATGGACTGCCAAAAGAACAGTCTGTCAGGAGGAAGAGCAACCAGGGTGCTTCTTAGAGGCAAGAATGGTAAGACGACATCTCACGTACTTTGGGGATGTTGTCAGGAGGGACCAAACTTTGGAAAACTACATCAAGCTGGGAAGGTTATAGGGTCAATGAAAGAGAGTACAACCTTCAAAGAGATGGACTCACAGAAAGCCGGCAACAGTGGATTCAAACAGACATATTATTATGAGGATGGTACAGGATTAGGCAATGTTTAGTTATGATATACATAAAGTTATCATGTATAACATTTTTTAAAAAGTTCTGTAAATATACAATATTTCTTGTAAGCAGCATAGAGTTTCATTTGTTGTCTTCCTAAGAGTCTCAGCCCTTTACTTTAATATTTAGTCTATTTACATTTAATTACTGATCCATTTAAGCATGTGTATGCTTTGTTGCCTGCTGGACTAATTAGAAGACAGAAACTATACAAGTAACTTAAACAGGCAACATGAAGATAAAAATTCATAACAAGCACCCAGTGGCTGTTGCAGGCAGAATAATGGCCCTCTAAAGATAGCCATGTCTTAATACACAGAAGATGTGAATATGATATCTACAATGACAAAACAGACGTTGCATATGTGAATAAGATCAAAAGGAAAGAAATAAATTGACGTTTGAGTTCAGGGTCACAGAACTAACAAATGGGTGAAAATCAAGATTCAACAGTTCTAGCTGTAATCACTATAAATACCATCTTCTCAAACTTTATTCATTTTATTTATAGGTTGCTTCCCTACTGGCAAAGTGAGGCATACTATTTTGAAAATTTCTAAAGCCTCAGTATTTATGTTAAAAGATGATGCCATCTGTCTTGGTTTTTCAGAGTCTCACATTGTACATTTTGTCTTAGGTCAGCTGTAAATATGAAAGATCAGAGTTAACATCCAGCTCTCAATCATTTTTTCCTACCAAACCAACAAGCTCTTTTAGTATAGTTACATTTGTAGGGGAGTATCTGCTTAACCCTTTCAGCCTATTTTTTTTACTAGTAGGCTCTGGAACAAAAAAGGACAAGTTCAAGTTTAGTTCAAGCAACAAAATAACAGGATTGAGAAACTAGAAGAAGAAAGCCAGTGTAGCTTAGAGCACCAAGACTCTCAGCATTACCTAGTAAAGCTGGAGAGAACTCAAGTGAAAGAGATTTCAGATGACCATGTCTCTCAGTCAAGCTGGTGCTATAAGCTCGTGTGGCTTACTAAAGAGTTACATTTCCAACCTAAAGGCACACAGTTCAAACCCACCAGCTGCTCTAAGATGGGCACTCTCTATCCATGTGATTTCTTGACTTTGAAAATCCACTGCAGTATCATCTATGAGTTGGTTCTGGTGCAAACAGCACATAGCAACAGTACCTTTCCTACCCCGCAGCACCTCTTCCTCCAAGCAGAATAACAACATAAAATAACAAGAAGATGAAAGTGGTTTTTGCCAGTAGACAAGATTAGAGATCTTATGGATCAGAAACGGAATAAAAACGCAAAGCACACTGCAGACATAGGTGCCTGAGAGCCCTCTATCTGTGAGCTGTTGTTTACCATCAAGTTGGAATCAACCCATAGCTGTCCCTCCAGCGGGTTTTCAGAGGCATTAAACTGCACAGGAAGAGATTGCTCATCCTTCTCCAACAATCTGTGGGCTACTGGAGTTAAAAATGTGCCAAGGAAAAGGCTGCAGATCAGAATCAGGATCAAGGCTGAAAGTCAGAGAATGTGGAGGGGGAAGCCCCTGCATCATAATAAAAGTTAGATTTCTTCATTGACAATTTAGGAGGCTACAAGTCCACATTCAGAACACCAGCTCTGGGGAAAGGCTTTCCCTGGTGGTTCTGGGGGAAGGGCCCTTTCTCCTATTTCTGTGGGCCACGCGTTCTTGGAGATCGCCATGTTTCTTAGCATCAGTCGTTCCCCATCTTAGGAGGGATCTGAGTCCAAGAGACATTCTGTTCCTGGCTTCTCTTTTTGACAGTGATCAGACCCCTCAGCTCTCTGTTCACCTGTGTTTTAGATCTTTCAAAAGAGATTGACTCAAGATACAAGTTAATCTAGTAGATTACATCCTGACTCATTAATCTAACAGCATCTAATCTTGACTCATTCACATGACAGAGGTTAGGGTTTCCAACACCTACAATAACCATATCCATCACAGAATGAGGATAATTCTCTAACACTCCAAGTCATGGCTGAATCGGGGTGACATATGGCAGGGAATGGAGGGGATGGTGGGCCAGTCAACCTACACATTTAGTCTTCTACCAATTAAATTTCTTCTTACGTATATAAGTATATATCAAAGCTTTAAACACATAACTTGCACTTTCCCTTTATGAGACTGGAAATCTAATATGGTGATTATATTTAGCAACTGAAAAACTGCTAGAGAAAAGGTTCCAGCACTCAGGCAGCCCTGTCCATTAAAAACTAAAAGACAATGTTGGGCTCAGTTGGCATGATGGACATGGATTGTCAAAAGAGACAACACAACAGAATAAAAACTAAACATGGACTTCATTATAAGATTCCGGCTGAAGATAGAACTAATATTAAATGTTCCCTCTTCCCTGTCATAAGGAAAGGTATTTACATTTCTTCAGCAACAGAGCATGCATACTAAAGGGGGAGATCCTAAATATGAAAGATCACCATTTGCTAAATGACTAAACGGCTGAATGACCACCCACACAAAGTCAGGAAAAGGCTTAGGCTTCAAGAACATTCCTCCTGCCTTTTATGATACAGCAAGTCATTACCTCGAAAAACAAATAGAAAAATCCCTGCAAAATTAAAGCAATCAATTTCAGATAATACTACAAATTAAATGTCTATAGTATTTAATCTGAAAAGCTCTCTGAATGTCTTCACAATTTCTACAGTGCTTTGAGCACCTGGTACGCCCATTCTCTCCCTTTGTCTGAGGAAGGGACAGCATTTGCTGCTATTAAGTGCAAAAAGAGAACGGGGGTGACAGGGTTTTGTTCTAATCTCAATCTGGGTGCGAGGTTTACAGCAAGAACCCTATGGAAACGTCATCATCATCAAGGAAAGCTGACAAAGAGGGTGAGTACCACTACCTTAACCTTATGGAAACAACTCCCAGGGATGATGCATCAATGCTAATTTCAACCTTTTTTTTTTAAGTGCCAGGAGAAAGTGATGAGAGTTCTGAAAAAGTTCTCCTTCCTATCCCATGATAGGTGATCTTGCAGCAGTCCTTAGGTGTGAGGAATGCAGCAAAATCTTATTTATCTAGAACCACAGACTCTAATTAGACATGACGTGCTGTTTGTGAGGTGGTCGGGTCACTGTCTCAGGCAACTTTCAAAGAGCCCCATGGTGATGCGTCACAAATGTGTGGATGGGCCAGAGGTGGGAGGCTGTTGACTGCTACTTCTAAACCTGGAAGCAAGGACTCTGGAAGAATTCTTAGGCCAGCACTTCCCAGGGGTCAGAGCCAATGCCAGCCCAGCCAGCAGGTTCCCAAAAGGCTCAGAGGCCAATTGGGCTGTGAGTGCACAGCTTTCTGACAGCCCATTCCTTCTCTACCTAACCGTAGGAGGAAGAATTATAATGATTAAAATGCCTTTACTGCCATTGATCTACAACCAGCTAATCCTGCCAACAGAGATTTATTAAAAAGGAAGCCAAGAAACAACATATAATTAACTGAAGTTATTTAGGAATTGATTATTCAAGTCTTTTGATTCCCTTCTCTCTCCCTCCTATTTAATTCCTCTTGGCCATTTCTCTACTGATTAGGTTCTTTCTTGTTAGGAAAAACAAGTGAAACCCAAAGTTATTAAAAAGGCAATCTGTGATTAGAAATAGTCATAAAAGATTTGATGAGGGGCAAAAAGAGGAGAGGGATATTATAATTACTGGAGAAAGGATGTTTACACTATTCTGTGGTTATCAGGAAGCTGTGGGCTCTGGAGTCAGACTGAGCTCTGGTTTCTTTTTCTGCTACTTCCTAGCTGTGTGTTCTTGGGCAAGTAACTCCACCCCTCTGAGTCAGCTTCCTCATGAGAAAAGGAGAGATGCTAATATCTACACTGAGAAGTGTTTGTGAAGATTGTATAAAAAGCTACAAAGAATCAAATATAATCCTTCCCACCTGCTACGTATTCAAGCAACATTATTTAAATGAACTAGACTTTACTCCTGTCCTATAATGAAGACAGGAGTGAGAGCAACTGCCCTTACACTGAGAAGTACAATTCCTCCTGTTAATGTACACATTTTAACTGGCAAACTTCTCGGCAGTTTAAATTTGCATTTTGAAACTTATGTGTGTTATACTTTACCTGTCGACTCCCTTGCTTGGAGGAGCAGCTACTTGTGCTCCTTGAAGGGGAGACCAGTTTTTGAGACACCCCAAGGTTCTTCTCGTCATTCATCCTGAGCAGCTGGTCACCTGGACTTGATGCAGTCAAAACGCCATCAGAAAAGAGCAGAGCTGAGAGTCTGGAAGGTGGCTCAGCTCTCACCCAGTAGGTGGAAAGGCATTCTGGGTGACCCAGAGGAAGCCCCTGAAACCAGAAGACAAGAAGAGAGGTCAGAGACATCAGTCTTCCATTATCCGCTACTGATTATCTGCAGATGGTTAATCCATTCAACAGAATACAGTGTCGCAATACTTAGCTACATCAGGGTGGGGAAACAAAAATGCTTCACACATCTTTCTATTATAAATCAGACACAGGCAGTTTTCCTTGTAAGTTTGCAGCACTACAGGTTTAAGAATGCTAGTAAGAAAATCTGGTTCAAGATGCAAAGCAATACTATAAAAATCATCTCTAACCACAATGAGGTGCCATGTCACACCCACTAGGATACTGTAATAAATGAACTAAAAAGCAAAACTAGGAAAGAACTGGCTGTGTCGAGGACGTGAAGAAACTGGAATCTTCTTGCATTGCTGATACTCCTCAAAAAGCAAACACGAAACAAATTATAATCTATTGTCAACCTAGTTGGTTCAATGGCCCTATAGATCTTAGTCCCTACAGGGCTAATGTGATCTGCCCTGTGGAATTTCCAAGTCTGCATTCTTTGCAGAAGCAGATTGCCACCTCAGTCTCCTATGAAACAGCTGGTCATAAATCAACACAGTAGGTGCTTTATAACTGCATTACTAATGGGAACATTCAACGGCGCAGTCATTGGAAAATAGCTGGCAGTTCTTTAACAGTTAACCATAGAGTTATCACATGACTCAACAATTCCACTCCTAGCCATATACCCAAGAGGAGTGAAATATGTCCACACAAAAACATGCACAAGAATGCTTACAGCTTCACTATTCATGAAACGCCCTGAGGTCTACCAGTAGGATCGCCCATGGTGAACAGGTTTCGGCAAAATGTCCAGATGAAGACAGACTAGGAAGTAGATCTGATCATCCACTTTTGAAATTTAAAAAAGCCTCACTGCTGTCAACTTCAAATCATTTCATATTGAACTTCCAGCACTGAACTTTTCAGAGACAGTGAGTAGCCCTGTAGGAGACTGCCCATCTTTCTCTTGTGGAATAGCTAGTGGGTTTGGACTGCAAGCCTTTGGGTTGGCAGAACAACTCCTTACCCACTAGGCCATCCACGAAAACCTTATAAGAAACGGGGGAATATTGCCTAATATCTGGTAAAATAGCCAGAGCAGGCAAACTCATCAAACAGCAAGCCAATTAATGGTTGCCAGAGTCTGGGGAGGATGAAAGAATGGAGTGATGCTTAATGTGTTTCCTTTATAGAGCAATGAAAATGTTCTGGAACTAGATAGCAGTGACTATTGTACAATGTTTTAAGTGTAATAAATTCTACTGAGTTGTCCATTTTTAGATTAAAAGTTCCAAAAGGTAAGTCTTAGCAATAGCAATAAGACAAGAGAAGGGAATAAAAGGTATCCAAATTGGCAAACAGGAGGTAAAAGTATCTCTCTATGCTGATGATATGATAGTATACTTAGAAAACCCTAAAGACTCAGCAAGAAAACTATTGGACATAGTGGACCAGTTTAGCAAAGTAGCAGGATACAATATCAACAACAAAAATCAGCTGGATTTCTCTACAGTGACAAAGAGAATGCAGAGCTGGAGCTAAGAAAAATAATACCCTACCCTTCACAATAGCTAACCAAAAGATTAAATACTTGGGAATAAATTTAACCAGAAGCACAAAGAATCTCTTCAAAGAAAATTACAAAACATTACTACAAGAAACAAAAAGAGACCTTGAGAAGTGGAAGAATATCCCTTGCTCATGGATATAAAGACTCAATATTGTGAAAATGGCAATACTACCAAAGGCAATTTACACATTAATGCAATCCTAATACAAATACCAATCCCATTCTTCAATGAGGTGGAAAAGGCAATCTCCAGTTTCATTTGGAATGGAAAGAAGCCCCGAATAAGCAAAGCACTCCTTAAAAATAGAAGAAAGGTAGGAGGTATCTCACTCCTTGATTTCAAATCCTACTACACTGCCATGGTGGTAAAGACCGCATGGTACTGGTACAATACAGACACACGGACCAATGGAATAGAATTGAGAACCTGGAGACCAGCCCATCTATCTATGGTCAACTGATTTTTGACAAGGAGATGAAATCAGTTAAGTGGGGAAACAACAGCCTTTTTAACAAATGGTGCTGGCAAAATTGGAAAAGTATCTGCAAAAGACTCAAGCAAGATCCACACCTCACTCCATACACAAAAACCAACTAAAGGTGGATCATGGGCCTAGAACTAAAACCAAGGACTATAAACTTCATTAAAGAAAAGCTAGGAACAACGCTAGAAGTCCTAGTCCACAACATAAACAGTCTTCCAAGTATCCTGAAAAACCTGAAACCAGGAGAAGATAAAGTTGATGAATAGGGATCTTCTAAGAATCAAATCCCTATGCACATCCAAAAACTTCTCCAACAGGGTAAAAATGGAAGCCACAGACTGGGAAAAAAGTATTTGGTAATGACATATCAGATAAGGGACTTATATCCAGAATTTATAAAATACTTGAGCACCACAAGAAGATAAAGGTAAACAATCCAATTAAAAAATAGGCACGGGATATGAATAGACACTTCACCAAAGAAAACATTCAGATGGCTAACAAGCACATGAAGAAATGTTCAAAATCTCTAGCTCTAAGAGAGATGCAAATCAAAACAACTATGAGATATCATCTCACCCCAGTCAGAATTGCAAAATTTAACAGAACAGCAAGCAACAAATGCTGGCGAGGTTGTGGAGAAACTGGAACCCTATTCACTGTTGGAGGGAGAGTAAAATGGTGCAACCACTGTGGAAGGCGGTATGGCACTTTCTCAATAAGTTGCAAATAGAGATACCATTTGACCCAGCAATTCCACTACTGGGAATATACCCCAAAGAGACCATAACTGCCATCCAAGCAGATATATGCACACCCATGTTTATTGCGGCTTTGTTCACAATAGCAAGGAGTTGGAAACAACCTAAGTGCCCATCAACAAGCGAATGGATAGAGAAGCTGTGGTATATTCACACAATGGAATACTATGCTGCATTGAAAAACAAGAAACTCATGCAATATTATTCAAAATGGGTGACTCTGGAGGACATTATGCTGAGTGAATTACCTCAGTCACAAAAGGACAAATACCGCACGGTGCCACTATTGTAAAACAGGACTGACATCGGGGTTGGGGAGAGACTGAGAAAGATGGGTTCAATAATGTATACTGCATTGAAACAGATGAAGGAGAAAACTGTTTAAAAGGGTATGTGATTAGGTCTTTTTGTCATGACAGGAATCTAGAGCAAAGGCTACATGGTGGAGTGGACCTGGGGGAGGGTTTGTAAAACAATGAAAGAATTTTTGTTTTACTATTCCAAGAGGGTAGTGTACTAGGGGGGAGGGCTGGGAGGGGAGAAAAGTGCAACAATGAATGAATGAATGGAAATCTAAAGTCTGTAAATTTTTACTGAAATTAATAACAAATTTAAATTAAAAAAAGAAAGGGGGAAAATAGAAGAAAAAAGTTCCAAAAGGTAATTTTATGTTACATATGTTTGAATACACATACACACAAACACACACACACACATACTTCTGATTTCTAGACACACAGTTTTTTGAAACAAAAAACCCTTGTAATATGGTGTGACAAAAACTATGGGGAACAAGAATTTTCAACATCAGTTTTTAGTATACTATAATTAAGACAATTATCAATTATTTCTACTGTAATAAAATGAGTACATACAACGTCCTGCCAGCCTTATATTAAGGACATCCCACACATACTGACTTAATTAATCAACTGTCTGAGAAAGCACTCTCTCTATTGGAAGAGGATACCATGTCTCTTAGAAGTTAGGTAACTTGCCCAATCACACAGCTGGCCGGAAGCAGAATCAGGATTAGATCCCAGCCCTTTTATGGTGCATGCACCTACTCGTCAGGTTAGGAGAGAGCAGCTCCGATCCCATCTCTGAGAGAAATGGGGCGATGGACTAGAAGGAAATCAGGAAGGAGGATATCATAAGGAACTTCAAAGAGGTCACAACCCACTCCCCCCTCCGAGGGAGGAAGCACAGCACTGGCCATGGGGAGATCAACCAGAGCAGAGACAGGGTCATTCTATGAAGGTAGCTGGCTGGGCTGCTTCCTGCCAGACCTGTGGCTTATGAGATGTTCAAAGTCAAACCTCACTGTGGAACCAACTCATAGCTGATTACTGAATTTCCAAGAGTGTCAGTCAGATTTTCATCTTTCTCCAGTGGAGCTGCTAATGCATTAGAACTTGCAGAGAGTTGGTGTAGATTTCAGAAGCCCAAAATGTCATCTAACAAAGAGTAAGTTCAAATAAATATACAATTTCCTCACACAGAACAACAAATCACATCAAATGCATCAAATCATAAGCATTTGCATGGTTTCATTTTAAAACAGAAATATCATATAAATGGTCTAGGAAACTGCTAGTAATATCAAACGTTGGGATAATTATTAATAATACCAAAATCTACGGTGCTTTCACAGGCATTTGTTGCTGTCGTTATGTGCCATTGAGTTGCCTGAGACCCATAGTGACCCTATGTACAGCAGCTCTGAACCCTGCCCTTTCTTGAGTCAGTCTCACTAATTATGACACACCAACCCCCACTGCTCAGTTACTGTCTCAATCTATCTCATCCGGGGTCTTCCTCTCCTGTGCTGTCACTCCACCATTCCGAGAATGATGTCCTTCTTTAAGGACCAGTCCCTCCTAGCCACATGCCCAAAGTGTGGCAAGGGCATTTAGTTTTTTAAAAATTTTTATGTTAACCTTGGTGAAACCCTTCATCAAGGAAATTCCTTAATAAGATTCAAGGAACAAAAGGGTAATTGCTTGATATGATTCAGGGCATACATAAGAAGCCAATAACTAACATTATACTTAATGGAGAACTTTCCCAAGAAATAGTATGCAAGACAAGAGTGCTGACTCTTACAAGTCCAAAAAATTAAAAAATGTAGTAGAAGTCCTAGCTAGAAATCAACAATACAA